TACAGGTGAGTATGGCGGTTTTGTGAAACTGGATACGGTAGTCTAGTTCGATGCTGTGTTCAGGTACGGCTGACTTATCCGGATGTTCTAGGCGTAATTGCCGTTGATGTTCTTTCAACCTGGTGCCCACAGAACGGCCCGTTTGCCCAGTGTAGACCTTGCCGCACTCGCAGGGGATTCTGTAAATTCCCGGTGTCCTCAGTCCCAGGTGGTCCTTGACAGGCTGGAGGATTATATATCTTCTTAGGAGGCAGGCCAACTGATTTGATGTGGTGTCGGGACAGCACTCTGCTAATCCTGTTGAATATAGTCCCGACAAAGGGCAAGAAGGCGACAGTGTCTCTGCAGTCATCATGTTGATTGTGGTTGGGACGGCGGTTGAGGGCCCTGTGGATCTGCCGGTCATTATAACAATTCCGTCTGAAGATGTCATCAGTCTTCTACTTGGATGGAATATTGGAACAGCAGCGTAAGTATGAAATAAAAACTCATCAGCATTTAAGAGCAACAACATGNGTTCCAAAATTGTTGATAAGAAAGAGATATTACTTATTTTCAATATTTATTTCTACAAGTGATAAAGCTGGTACAGTTTACCTAGTATAATACATTTTCGAAAATTCCACCGTCAACATCAATGCACTTTGCAGCTCGTGTGAGGACATGGCGTGTTGCTCGTCTGTACAGTGTGCAGTACAGTGAAATAGCTGTACCTCGGAAACCGTTCGGAATAGGACACATTTACATAAATATGTCTTTGTTTAGAATTGCCGATACTGTGACCTCCCAGAATACTGACCTTTCCTCCTTGGACATTCTGTATAAACAATACTTCACAAATTAGGTCAATGTAAATTATAATTAAGCTCATGTTATGAAGAAACGAGATTCATAGCAATACAATGGAAGCAGGCGCGCAGTGGTTACTGTATATAAACTCTGCGCTGTATCACAACTGTCACTCACACAATGGGACTTGGGATATCAGTGAAAGCGAACCGAAGTTGGAGAGGTGTTTTATTAATATGTTACTTCGGTTGGTCACTGGAGAAAGTCCGTTTAGGGGACTGCACGGATTCACATTTGAATTTGTTTGTTCATAAGAACATCGAAACTTCTTTCTGTGTTGCTGACAACCGTCTGATTTTCGAGCAGAATACAAATAGGTCTTACCGGAGAGAAAAGGAATCGAACTTCGGTCTTCAGAGTAAGCTGTAAGAAGAGAATATCTCACTGCTTTGTAGTGTGTCGAAAATATCTGCGAGGATACGTCATCATAACATAGTGACGTAACTATCTAAGTCATAAATAGAAAGCTTCAAAATTCTATAGAGTCTAATGTGTCCAGTGGTTCTAGTTAGTTTCATCTAACTAACGGTAGGTGTCTCCAACAGGTTCGGTTTTTGAAACATCCTGTTTTTTAGATTATCGGACGATGGACTAAGTCCAAATATCTGAGTGTTATAAAATTCAATCTGCAACAATATGATGCGAACGAGAATTATCATGCCAGGAATCTCGTTCAACACTCACAGGACTTATCTTCAGTGATGTTGGCTGTTGAATCTGTGACGTCTCTTCGAACGACATGTTTAATACAAACAATATCAACTTTAAAGTCTTCTGTTCAGTTCATATTGCAGTTATCCGTGTTGTCGTGATTTGTAGTCTGATAAGTGGTTATTAATATTTCAGCTAATCCTGTTGCTTCCATTCATATGTACCATGAAAATGGAGGCAATATGTTCCATCGAAACTTTGGTACTCAAATACTATATTACAAGATGTCAGAGCCAAAATGACCACAGTGTAACCAGAAAGCTCATTCATGTGGT